CCTATTAACCTAAAGTGCTGGAAGAATCACAGGCCAGAAAAACTTTGCCTGCTAAAAATACATCACTTTACAGAGGACAACTCCAGCTTGACAGAAAACCCATTGCCTCTTCCAAACAGTTTGTGAGCTATTCTGGATGCCATGGTGTTACTTGATGAGCAAGCAAGCTGGAACGCCACTGCATTTTTCCAGACCCATTTACTCAGTCCCCAAGTTCTGTAGAGTTTGTTTACCTGTGGATGGCCCTGTCAGTACCACAAGGGCTCCAGTTTTAAAGACACCAAAACAAGTGAAAGGCAGCCAATAACTCCTCCTTCCTTTCTCCTCACTGCCCAAATCCAGATACCTAGAGGTGTTGGCGTGGATCCTGTTCTCCATGCTCCCCAGGCTAAATCTCAGCCAAGGGGGTGTCAGTCTGGGAGTTCTCTGGGCTACTATAAATGAAAATGCTTTTCTGCAGCTGAAACTGAAATCCCGTTATCTCAAAGTGGATCATTTCCAAGTAGCACAGATGCCCTCAGCCTGTTCTCTTGCCCGTTAGGTACTAGCTCCTACCAAAGAAGTTAATGCACATTGTTGGTGTCCTGCAGCGCTGTGACAGGGACAAGCTTCAGGGGCATCTCAGGATTTGCAAAACCCCCAGGGAGAAGTCAAGGCTGGATTCCTGTGCCACTCAGACTGGAATCCTATAAGGAGAGAAGGAAAATAGGAATCTGCATCGGATTCCTGGAATGAGCCTTGGCTACAGCTCTCTGCAACCTTTCTCACTCGCTCCAGGTCTCTGTTTGGCCTTCTCCCCCACTCTTATGCTCATTGTTCTGAGTGGGCATAGACTGGGAAGGAAACAAAGGAAAGAGCAAAGAATGTCCATGATGTGGGAACTGTTTTTATCAGGAGCCTACCCAGGTCATCCATCTATTAGTCAGTGACTTCACTTTTCTTCCAGACTGCCTGTGTCTTTGATTCCTTCTCTAGGTTTGCTGCTTCCCTCCGCCACCCTGGAAGTTCCTCATTCGATCATCTGGAATGCAAGGAACAGTGTGTGAAACAGTTAAGTCTCCTGCACAGGATCCCCAGCTCCATCAGTGGTAGCTGGACCCCAAAAGATGAGCACCCACTAGGGATTTTGAGTCTGATCACAACATGTAGAACTCCAGGGCAGAGACAGCTCTCTAATGAAACAGAGCCTTGTAAATGATCACTGAGAAACAGAGAGAGGAGGGAGCGAGAAAAAAAAAAAGGATGCAGAGAGTAAAGCAGTAAAGCAGTAAAATACATACATCTGAGGGCAGCAAAGACACAATGAGCAATGTGTAGAAGTGAAGCAGGAGAAAGAGGGCAGATGAAATGATATTCACAAAGAGCTAGCTATAG